CGTGGCGAAAGGAATTGCTTTGATTCAAAGAACAGTCTCTGGGTGCAGTGCTCCACCTGTTCAAAAGAGTGCGAGGCGAGACGGCAACTCCCATTATTCCCGTCTCGACGAAACGATTCGATTTCGTTTGCTTCTTGTGTGTCGATAGGCTAGACACGCTGCAAATAGACGTCTGATGCACGAACGCGAGGCAAAAAGAATCCGTACTCGAAGACACGCCGCCTAACTCGTTTGGAATTTATTTTTTTACACCCCCCATTCGCATTATGTAGAGCGCATCGCTCAGAACTCTCAAACCCGTCGTCGTCGGGACCCCCTTTTTTTTTCTTGCATTCACTATCGCTGTGAAGCGGCGCACGGGGGGCGGCCCCGGGGCCCCGGGAGGAAGTGGGGTAGGGTTGGTGGGGGACGTGTTCGTATAAAAGTCTGGTCGGGTGAATAGCGGCAGCACCCACAGCAGCCCGCCGCGGTACTTAATCATCCTCGGCAGGCAGCAGCGGCAGCCGCGCGCCGGCTCCGACTGTATGGGTGTCGGTAGGCGCCCGCCCCGCCACCCGCCAGGCTACCCGCGCGCGGGTACACCCGGCACTGCGGCCAGCAGCACCCGCTCGCCGCGGGGTGCGGTGAGCCGCCCTGCCCCGCCCCAGGCCGCACCCCTCAGCCAGCCAGCGTGTAGTCCCGCTGCTTTTTGTTGGACAGGCTTCGGGGTGATTTGTGGTGGCGCGCCGTGAAGCCGGGCGCGTGGCGGGGCGTGGCGGGCCGCTGGAGCTGTGTTGACGCCCGCCCCACCCGTTGACGTCCCCGCCCCGCCCCGCCCCGCCCCACGCCTTTCCGGTTGATGGATGTTGCTGTCGGCTCCCGCGCGGCCCGGACCGTGTCCGGCAGGGAGCCGCCGCTGGACGGGCTGCTGGACGGCGCCGATCACCCCCGGGGAGTAGCGCGATGGAGCCACTGGAGCCCCGTCCTGCAGGGAAGCAGCAGGTGTCGCTGGAGGCAACAGCCAGGAAACCGGCTCTTTGAAAAACCATTCATTGTTTTTGTTTTGAAGGGGTTTTCAATTTTCTTCGTTTAACGACAAATATTTTGTTGCGTCAAAGAATTTTCTTTACATTAGGGCAATTTTTTTTACTCAAACGAAGGTAAAACATCGTTGTTTATTTAAGGAAAATTTCCATGATTCAATGCACGTTTCAAGAAAATTCCTTGTTGCAAGTAAACGATTTTCTGGGTGTAGCCTGTGAAGATTAAAACTTATTAGAGTGATTCTCGCTGTGATCACATTTTTGAAAACTGGTAGGGTGGGAGGGTGAGTGGGAAGTTAGGTTGGAGGGCCGTGCACGGTCAGGGGGGCCATTGCTATTGTGCGGCCCAGGGCGGAGCTGGGCGCCCCTCGGGGGGTCCAACTGGCGCTTCCAGACGAGATGCGGGTGGGCCGGTCAGCATGACATGCACAGAATGCGCCTGCCCGTCTTAGGGCCCTACTCTGCCGCCCCGAGTGTTTGACAAAGGAGGGGTTAGAGGGGTGGGGATTGTGTGCTGGGATCCGTTCGGACAGAAACTCGCTCTGTTCACTTTCGGGAGGGCGTTTTGTGTGTGAGTGTGTGTGTGTGTGTTGGGGAGGGGGGGGGGGGGGTGGAGCATATATCCACCGTTTTTTTTGCATTGAGTATACGCCAAGTTTGCAGAGTGGCCCGCGCATGCTACACCCGGAAAAAACGTACCTTTGATTCAAAGGGAATTACTTTAATACGGGATCAACCGAATTTTCTTGTGTGTGTGCACTTCCATTCTCTCTCTGCCTTTGACGGGCAAACGATAAAAGCCGGTGTTTAGTTTTGAAAAGTTTTATCTCGATTTATTTGGTGCTCCCAATCAAACGATCTAATTTCCAAGCCGCGGTTGACCCAGCCGCGAGCCGAGTCTGCTGGAAAGTACAACATTGCCATGCTTTTGCTTGAAAGCGCGAAATAACTGCCTGCAGACCGAGCGCTGGCTTGCACCGTACGCGACCCCTACTTTTGAATGTGCCAAGCGGGGTGGGAGCGGGTGGGGGTGGGAGCAGCGAGAGAAGGGGCTTCTTAGAAGCTTTCCACATTTACAAGGATGTAGTGCTAGTCATAGTTTGTGAAATACGGCTTAGAGCCGTAGTCCTGGGCGGCGCGGTGCGGCGCGCGGCTCAGAGCTGCATGTCCTCGGAGAGGTAAGCTTGGGCGGGGGGAGGCGCCCCCATAAAACAAATTCTTTTCTTTACGGGGCGTCAGGGGTTCCACCAAAGAATCTATAAACATTTGAATTATTCCGGCGTATTTCTCTTCCTTGTCGTAGTACCCCCCTTTTTTTGCAGTGCCATGGCCGGCTCGGCTGCTATCTGAAGGGGCGGCCTGTAGCGTCTGTAGGGCCTGCCTGGCCCTGTGTGCGCCCTGGGCCTGACTATGGCCAAAGTCCAACTAGCCTCCGTATCAGCCAGCTCGGCCCAACCCGCTCCACCTCTTTCCCAATTTCAGTTACTC